CCATCTCCGCCCTCCGTCCCCGCAAAAAGGGGGACCTTGGCATCGCTCGGACGCGTGCGTCTTTTTCTCGGCGAGGACCCTCGAGGAACATCTTGGATCATCGAGCCAAGATCACACACAGAGGGACGTGGTGGGGGGGGAGGCAAGCCTTGTGTTCATATCCACTTCAGCTTGGAGTTTCAGGCTCCATTCCTCATAAACCCGAGGCGCTCTGGGTATGGATATGTCCGGAGCGCCTCGCTGTCCACATCCAGTCACTGGATATCCGGTGCGCCTTTGCCTCACGGCGCCCCTTCCAAGAAAGTCCGAGACGCACCGGATGTGGGCACAAGTGCTGCCCGCAGGGGCAGGGGGGCGGGGGAGGCCTCCTCCGAACCACGGCCAGGCGCAGGGGCGCCGCCCTCGGCCTCGAGGTTCCCCCGCCCTCCCCGGGCCCCACGCCTCCCTCGCTGCAGTGACGAGGAGGCTGCTCGCACGGTGCAGCGAGCGGCTCGAAGAAAGAGCGCTTACTCCTCCAAAAAGGCTCCTCCTCCTCCTCTTTTCCTCCTCCTCCTCTTTTCCTCCTCCTCCTCCTCCTCCTCCTCCTCTTCCTCCTCTTCCTCCTCAAATAAGTCTTCAAAAGGGGCTCGGTCGTTCCTCAGCTTTGCAGAAGGGGCGGTGGTCGAATTGCAAAAGCAGATCGTGGCGGAAAGCCGCCAGGTAGGGGCTCGGCCGTTCCTTCGGACTCCGTAGCCTTACCTGGAGCAAGAAGAGGCTATTCGTTCCTGACGTATCGCTCCTTAGGTCAGGCCGATGACTGTATTCTGGACGATCGAAAAGGGTACGGAAAGAAGGGGCACAAAGACCGACAGCAGTTGTTTTTTTATCATTTTGAGCAGGGCTCGCTGTCCGCGCCGCCTCGCGAACGTTCCCTTGTTCATTGTGTTGCCGACAGGCGCGGGCGGGCCCTCGCCTCGCCCTGCCCCACCCCCATGGAGTAGATCTTGGCTGTGTGGGCGCCTGCTTCGAGCAGGGTAAGTCGCACTGCTGCAAGCAGCCGCGTTAAGCAGAGGTCCGGAGCCAGACCCCCCCCCCCCCTCCCCCCCCTTCGCCCACTGTCGAAGCGCCGAGTGAGAAAAAGTTCAGTTCGGACGCTGTCCACTGAAGACTGAAAGCCGTCCGCCCAGCAGCGGCCTCTATCGGTTTTGGACACCGGTTGTTGTTGGGCATCGTACCCATTTTCCTTTCTTCGCACCCATCTCGGCCGTCCCAAAGGTATGTTCCTGTCGGGCCGACGCGGTATTGGCCCCAGCGCAGGCGTTCAGGGCTGAACGCCGCTGGTGGCCCAGAATCGGCCCACGTGGAACGATCCGGCGATCGGAACGCCGCCGATCGTTCAATGTCTAAGTCGGGCATGTCCCTCCACGGGCGGAATACTCAAGAATCGTAGAAACATCTTCTGGGGAGGACGTTGCTAGCACTTTGCCCATCTTGGATTCTTTGCTGGACTATGTGTAAGTTGTCTTCCAAGATGTGCCCGTAGGAGGACGTGCCCGACCTGATTCAAGGTTGCGCGGTCCGCTCGGTCGAAGGAGCCGCTCGGTGTCGGGAGCCAGCGCCGAGAAGACGCCACGACGCGCACCAGCCGCGGCCTCCCTCACGGTGCCCAGCCATGCGCGGGGGGGGGCCGTCCGCCCCCGCAAGCAAGGAGCGGCGCCAGAGCAGCCTCCGCGGGGGCCTCCCAGAGACGCCCGGGGACCCTCGGGATGCCTCGGGGGGCTACAAGCATTAGCATTGGAACCTGGAGGGAAGGTGAATTGCAACTTTGTTGGTGAGCCTTGTGCTTGCTCTGGTCCCCCTCCTCCTCCTCCTGCTCTTCCTGCTCCTCCTGCTCCTCATCCTCATCCTCATCCTCTTCATCTCTCGCTCTTCTCCCTCGTCCACACCTCCAGCGCCGACGTACTTTAGCATTGGCCACCAGAAAAACTTTCGCCCTGAGTGCGATGGGAACAACATAACACAAGCATGCCCACCTATGCTCCAGTGGGCTGTCCCTGGGCCTCAGAGGGGAGGATGTCGGTGTATGAATTCTAACGAGGGCCAGCGATTCATACTTCGCCGCCCTCCCCGACTCTGCGGCGAGCGACGGGGGAATGAGAAGGGATGTGCCTTCTCAGAAGGCTCGAGAGTCCCCAAGCTTTCTGAGAAGTTTTCTGAGCCTCCCCCAGATACGCAAGAAAAAACCCTCAGAAGGCGCGAGGGCTTCTCAGCAGTCTCGCCGCCTTCTGAGAAGGCCTTGTCCTTCTCACTCCCCCCCCCCGCTCGCCGCCAGCGGACGGTACGGGAAAGTGGATCGCGTCGGCGATACTTTCGCGGCGTGCTCCCGCGGATCTCCGGAGGCTTCCCTCCTGATGGGCCTGTTTTCCACCACCACCATATCTTAGAGGGGGGAAGGAGGAGGAGGAGGAGGAGGGCGAAGAGGAGGACGAGGAGGAGGAGGAGGAGGAGGAGGAGGAGGAGGGCCCCCCCCTCCAACTTATGGTGGTGGTGGTGGAAAACACGCCTATCACTCCCTCCTGCCCCCGGGCTCCCCTCTCAGGGCGGGCCGTCGTCGCCCCTTTCGGGCAGAGCCGCGCCCTCCTCGGGTCGGGTCCGCAGGGCCCGTGCTTCTCGTGGATGCTGGGCATCCCAGGTGGTTACCGCGGTTGGACCGAGGTCTAAGATCGAGGTCGTTTCGCGGAGGGTACCCGAATGCTTTTTTGTATTTGTCTAAGCCTTCTAGATGGGGTCGGAGTAGATGGGGTCGGAGGATCGCGCCGCATCGCCGATGCATCGCCGATGCGGCTCGATGTGGAGCCCGATTTTCCCCACGATGGCGTCGCAGATGCATCGCCGACGTCGCCGATGCATCGCCGATACATCAGCGATGCATCGCCGATGTATTGGCGATACGGCGCGATCCTCCGACCCCATCTACTCCGACCCCATCTAGGAGGCCTCTAATTTGCTGGATGCTCTTGTGCATTCTGGGGAGGCGTACCCTCGGACGTTCGGTGTGTGTGTGTGTGTTTTGGAGGGCGGAGGGCCTCGTGTGCTTGAGGGGTGGTCTTCTGTCCTAGGCCCGACCGGGCTTACCACGCCACCCCGACCCAACCCGAAAGTCCCAGACCCAGTTGGTTTTCGGGCTGGGTGGTTTGAGAGTGCCACCGTGTCTTCTCGATGTGCCAGAGTGCCCACCCCCCACCGGAAATCAACGAGCCCAAGGGTGACTCTGGGCTTGGTAGGTAGTCAGGCGGGGTCCGGGTAGATGATCTCTAGGTGCCAGAAGGAGTACCACCGACGCCACAATCTCATCGTATTCCTTTGGTGGAGGCAACCCCCATTGTTGGTGTTCGTGCCCACTTTCAAGCCTCCAATGCCCTGGCGACGGCGAGGGATCGCCGGATGAGGAGAAGACATCGATAATTCTGGGCCTCCCAGATGGGGTCCGAGCAGATGGGGCCCGAGGATCGCCATACATCGCCGATACGTTGACGATGTGGCTCACATGTGGAGGCAGCATTCTCCACGCCGATCGCGCCGAGTAATCGCCAACATCGCCGATGCATCGGCGATACACTCGGCCCTGAGTGGTAGGTCGACCATGCCAAATCGAGGGTACCCTTGTGTCCTGTCTATCCGGACCTATGCAACCCGCATGTCCTTGGTGTTCTTCGAGTATCCTAGTCCGACTGTACCTTGGCAAGGCGGCGCGATCCTCCGACCCGGCCTGCTCGGACCCAATCTGGGAGGCCTCTAATGGACCCAGATCATTCGAAACCGCCAGTACCGGATTTCTTGCGTGCCGAACTGTGGTCGCGATTGGAGGGGGTCGAGTTTTGGCCTCGAAGAGACGGCATGTCGGGGTCCAATCTAGGGTTCGAGGCCGTCAGCGGCTTGTTCGTTACCAGAGTTCGCGACCGGAGGCCGAATTTCGGTCGCAGCTGCGACAGGCTCGTCCACAGCGTTGCCGAAGATGCTCGGTAGCGCATGATCTGGAGGGGAGAACCCGGGCCTCCGTCGTCAGGAGAAAACCACCACGGCCCATGTCGGCGGCCCAGGACCATCGGAGAACGAATCGGGATGACACGTCTCGGGGGTGGACAGAACCGCCACCCTGACACGTCGATTAGTGAATTGTCCATTTTCGGTTCTCGAGAGGGCGCCGCGGCCGTCATTTTCCAGGCTTGCGCCCGCCAGGTTTGGGCCCGAGGTCGTTTTCACTAAACCACGTTTTACTAAAGGGGGGATTCTGTCAATCCCCGAACGTTGTTGCCCAGGATGGGGTCGAGTTGTCTGGGGGGCCATGCCACGAACAAAATCATTGCGTTGGATGCCTTGGAGGGGGATGGGACGACGAGGCGGAGGACGGAGGGCGAGGGAGTCACGAGAGGTCTTCTTGCAAGGGAAGGAGCCGAACAATATGCGAAACCTTTCGCCTGTCCTGCCAACCTCCGGCGTCTCTTGCGCAAGCGTGCCAAAACACAAGCAATAAAGGTAGTCGTGGGACTATTATTTGAGTATGTTGAGCGTTTTGGCAATATTGTTTGACATTTTTTCGACCAAAATCCGCCTGTATGGGGACACGCCCGACCTAACCTTATCCTTGTTGTCGTTGAAGGTGACAGCAGACTTTCAGTGGCCTGGGCAACTTCTGCCGACGGCCGAGAAAAGTGCTGGGGGTTGATGAGGGCACCGGCCAGAAATCGCCCAAGGTTAAGTCGGGCGTGTCCCTCTACAGAGGGGAAATTCAAACATAGTCAGAAAAATGGTCTGGGGACGATTTGTCGATTATGTTGTGAATAGTTGTTTGGTTTTTGTTTTGTTCTTCTGTTTTCGTCCAAAATCGGCCTGTAGGGTGACATGCCCGACCTGAGCCTAAGGCCACTCCCGGTCGGAGTGCAAAACAATGGGAGGACCCCCAAAGCTCATTGAAACCGACGAGGCTGGCGCCAGGGCAGCGACGGGGGGGAAGGATGTCAAGCGAGAGGAGTTCCAACTCGACAGAGAATCAAGTTGGCCCGCTTGTTTCTGTTCGCCTTGACCAGCCAGTTTTAAGTCGGACATCTCCCTCTACAGGAGGGAAATATTCAAAAATAGTCCAAAAATAGTGTGGTGACGATGTGTCGTGCTCTTTTGACTAGGTTTGATGTTTTGACCATTTCGGTTTCTTCCAAAAACCCGCCCGTGGGCTGGCCAATCTGTGGCAACTTGGACACCCAAAGTCCCTGAATCCCCACCTTGTGCCCCTGCAGAGGTCGTGCAGAAGGACCTCGTCGGCTGCAGGAGCCCCTCGGCCGTGGTCCAGTCGCGCATCCGCGACCTGCGCGGCGCCTGCGGCGGTGGTGGCGCTGGTGGCTGTGCCACCGGCGGCTGCGGAGGCTGCAGCGGCGGCGTCGGAGTCTGCGGCGGCGGCGCCAGCTTCGCTGGCTGCGCCGAGGGCTTCGCGGGTTGCGGCGGCTGCGGCGGCTTCTTCGGCTGCGGTGGCGGCTGCTGCGGCGGAGCTGGCTGCGCCGCGGGCTTCGCGGGTTGCGGCGGCTGCGGCGGCTGCGGCGGATTCGGCGGCTGCGCCGGCGGCGCCGAGGGCTTCGCGGGTTGCGGCGGCTGCGCCAGCTGCGGCGGCTGCGCCAGCTGCGGCGGCTGCGCCGGCGGCGCCAGCAACGCTGGCGGCGCCGAGGGTTTCGCGGGCTGCGGCGGCTGCGGCGGCTTCGGCGGCTGCGGCGGCGGCTGCGGCGGAGCCGGCTGCGGCGGAGCCGGCTGTGCCGGCGGCGGGGGCGGCGGCTGCGGCGGCGGCGCGCCTTCTGCGGACTCCGCGGTGGAGGCCTGCGTCGCGCGCAGCATGACGAAGCATGTGGAGGAAAGGGGGAAGTGCGGAGGATGAGGAGGGTTGGAGGAGGGGAGCGCGACGAGGAAGCAGGAGGAGGTGGAGGACAAGGAGGAGGAGGAGGAGGAGGAGGAGGAGGAGGAGGAGGATGAGGATACGTGAGGGGGAAAGTGGGAGCAGGAGAGGGACATGGGAGATGACGATGCGGGTGTGGTGCAGCAGGAGCTGTCCCGAGAGAGCTCCAGAGGCACGAAACAGGAAAAGAAACGATACGATACGTATTCCCAACCCCCCAGATGGAGCTGTTCTTGAAGGCTTCTGTAGGCTCAAAGCGCCCAACAGTCGATTGTCGCTCGAAGAAGAGCAAAATATACGAAAGAGCGTGTGCGGGGAACCGGGGGGGGTCACTACCGGTTCGAACCCCTCCCCCCCCCCTCCGGAACACCGGGTGGGGTCACTACCGGTTCGAACCCCTCCCCCCCCCAGTTCATCATGAAAAGGGGGGGGGGTCACTACTGGTTCGAACCCAGTGGTGGGTACGGTGGTGGTGGGGACAGTGGTGAGGGGACAGCGGGACAGTGGTGGGGACAGTGGGACAGTGGTGGGGACGGTAGTGGGGGGACAGTGGTGAGGACAATGGTGGGAACTGGGGACAGTGGACAGTAGTGGGGACGGTGGTGGTGGGGACAGTGGTGTGGGGACAGTGGGAATGAGGTGGAAACAGTGGGACAGTGGAGGGTACAGTGGTGGTGGGGACAGTGGTGAAGGCGGTGGCGAGGACGGCGGTGGGACAATGGGACAGAGGTACAGTGGGGACAGTGGTGGGGACAGTGGGGACAGTGGTGGGAACAGTGGGACAGCTCAGTGGGACAGCGGAGGAGTCAGTGGGACAGTGGGGACAGTGGGGATAGTCGGGCAGTGGTTGGGGCCGTGGAGAAAGTGGGGAGAGTGGAACCGTGGTGGGAACAGTGGTGGGGACAGTGCAACAGTGGTGGGGGCACTGGTGGGGACAGTAGGGACGGTGGTGGAACCAGCCAGTGGGGACAGTGGTGGTGAGGACAGTGGTGCTGGGAACAACAGTGGGGGATGCGATGCGGACGGTGGTAGGGTCCGGGAGTCGTTTGCTGGCGGTGAGTGGGGGAGGTGGGGAGGCGTTCGAACCGTTAGTGACCCCCCTCTGGTTTTCGAGGGGGGGGGGGTTCGAACCGGTAGTGACCCCCCTCGGTTTTCGAGGGGAGGGGGGGGAGGGGGAGGTGGGGGTTTTCCGGGGAGGGGGGGGGGGAGGGGGGGGGGATTTTCGGATGGGGGGGGGGACCCCCGGGTTCCGGAGGAAGAGGGGGGCAATTTTCCACAGTAAAGCGGCGGTGGATCACGCTCTCTCAAATATACACATCCAACGTATCCTCGGACTTCCAATCAAAGGAGGGTGACGAGGAGGAGGAGGAAGAGGAGGAGGAGGAGGAAGAGGAGGAGGAGGAGGAGGAGGAGGACGGCGTCGCCGGCCACGACAACGGTGGCGGCGGAGGCCTACATCGCACGCAACAACGTGCAGGGGTCCGTGGCCAACATGCTGAGACAGCTGTCGCCCGCGGGTCAGGAGCAGGTCATTTCCGCGGACCTCACAGGGTGCAGGAGCTCCGAGAGGAGGGAGGGCAGGTCGGAGGGATGGAGGCAGGACGTAGAGTGAAGGCGGGAGTGGACGGAGGATTGACGCAAGAACGGCCAGGCGAGGCTGGAGGATCGTGGGTGCGTTCTGAAGTTGTCTCGTCGAGGGATGAGAAGGAGGACGATGATGATGATGATGATGATGATGATGATGATGATGATGATGATGATGATGATGATGATGATGATGAGGATGAGGATGAGGATGAGGATGAGGATGAGGATGAGGATGAGGAGGAGGAGGAGGAGGAGGAGGAGGAGGAGGAGGAGGAGGAGGAGGAGGAGGGGGAGGAGGGAAGGAGGAGGAATATGATCGCCTCCCAAGGAACCCCTCGTTGGTGCTGCAGACGCGCATCCGGTCCTCGGGAGAGGGGCATCACTCAAGAGGGAAAAAAACACAGACACAGTGAGTTGCCGACTCCCAGGAAAATATGCGAAAATATGGGGAGTGGGGGGACTTCAACAACTCAGAGAATATGGGAAAAGATGGGGAATCCTGTTACTTGTGTCTATTTATTGGTGTGTCCCTGTGCCCCTTCGATCACGCACGCACTCGCCATGGGGGAGACTGGTCCCGACGTGTTCGTTGGCGGTGCATGGCTCTCGGGGCCCTCCACGGGCCCTGGGGCCGTCAGAAAACGTCGTCCTTGGGGATGGCCCTGAATCCAGGAGTAAGTCGGGCCTGTCCCTCTACAGGGGGAATATTCCGAGGTAGTCAAAAAATAGTCAGGGGACGATGTTTGACCCCTTTTGTCAATTTCGGGGCAATTTTAGTGGGTATTTTCAATGTTTCGTCTAAAATCCCCCTGTAGGGGGACAGGCCCGACTTCAGTCCAGAACCTGTTTCCATCAGGCTTCCCCCACGCCAAACACACGTCGTCGACTGGTCGGCCAGGGAATTCTGCAGTTTCGCGCATTCCACCAGCCCATTCAGAAGCGCTGCCGATGAGAGCTGATCGTCTTGAGGCCCTCTTGGGATCCTCTTGGGGCTCTCCCAGGGCCCTCTCGGGGCCCCCACCGGGGCTCGTTCGGGGGGTCTCGGGGTCCTTTTGGATCCCTCTTGGGCGCCTCTTGGGAGCCCTGAAAGGCCTCTGGGGACCATCTTGGAGGCCAAGAGGGAGGTCCCTTACTTGGGCTCCAGGCTCCCCCTCAAGAGTCCTCAAACAGTCTCTTGGGTCCCTCTCGGGGCGCTCTTGGGGCCGCCTGGGGGGCCTTTGGGGCCCCATCTTGGGGCTCCCTTGGGCCATATCGGAGCCATCTTTAGGCCACAGAGGCCCATCGGACGCGAAACGGCGAGAAGGCAAAGTTCACCTGCTTTCTTTAGCAAGGATTTTGAATTTCGAGGGTATCTGGGAGCCGTCTCGCGGCCATCTTGGGGCCTGGGGCTTTTTGGAGGCATGTCGGACGGAAGCTACCTTGAACCATCGTCGGCTACCTTGCGCCATTTTGGAGGCCATCTTGGAGCATGGGAGGCCGACACAACTTCCGGTGTTTGCGCGCCAAAGCGTTTTCATTTGCGGAGCTGGGCGGCGCGAACGGCCGAACGACCCCTGCAGCGGGACACTCTTGCAACGCGGTTGCCGCCACAAAAACATTCGGTTTAACGCAGAAGCCGCGCAAAGGCGGCGCCGAACAGCCCTCTTGGAGCCATCTTGGGCAAAAAAGGACTCCCCTGACACCTCCATCCCCTTTCCGCGCATCCCCTTTCCGCGCAGACCCCTTCGCCCTCCCCGAAGCGGAAAAAGGGCTGTTGGAAGAGAAAGACCTCGTTCGACCACCTACGCCCAGAGAGATGGTGGGATTCGGTGCGCAGACGCTCTGGCTTCTCATTCTCCAAATTGCTTGATGAGACCCGCCATTGCCACCCCGCCAAACTAGCCGTTCCTTCTCCCTTCCCTGCGTACCTTACCGACCCCTTGCCGCGATCTTCCCCACAACGCCCAGCGCCAGACGGCCCATTCCGACCCCCCCGCGGGATCCACCCCATCAAGCCCATCAACAACATGGAGTGTCTTGGGACGCCAGGCGTCGAAACACCAAACTCGACGACCCGCCGTGCCCATCGCTCGTTGAAAGGTCCTTGCGTTTTCCCCAGGTCACAGCACTCTTTAGGCGCACTCCTGTCTCTGCCCCATCCGAACGGGCTCCCCTGTTTGTCTTCCCTTCCTCAGCGGGCGGGCGGATGCCTAGCCTACCTTCCACGTCGTCTTGCTTCGTGCTTGCACGGTAGGTGCCATGTCTTGTCGTGCCGTCCCAGCGACCACCGTTCCGCTGACGTTCCAAGGTGGAACGCCACAGGCGGCCAGAAGCCGACCAACGGTGGACGATGTCTGCGCTCCCTGAGGGCCGCAATCGTCCAGGGCTGAAGGATCCACGCGGCGTCGGAGACCGTCGCCGAAGTCGCCATGAGAAGAGCTTGCCGCCCACGACTATGAAGTGCTCTGCCAGAACAGCCAGAGCTTTGACCTGACTGTTAACATCAGGAAATACTTCAAACAATGCTCGATGGCACAAAAGTGATTGCATATTTATGCTAGCTTTTTGCAGAGAGCTCGAGTAGTAGACCGGCATCAGGTATCACGGGCCACCACCCGCATGGCTCATTTCGACTTTCCCGTTTCAATTCGATTTGATTTTTCGATCGATCCCGTTTCCGATTCGATTTGATTTCGGATCCTGATTTGGAGTTCGGTGTCTCAACGGAGGCCTCGCGAGCCCTGCCGATTTCCTCCGATTCGGTTTCTCCCGCTGACTTGGCTACCGATTTCCGCCAATCGGATCCATGTCGATCTCCGATTCGAACGGTATTCGATTCTGGACTATCTTGCCCATCCCTCCGCAGACCCGAGCCCGAGCCCGAGCCCGAGCGCGGCCTTCGAGCCCGGGACGGCCAAGGCCCCGGACTGCCAAGATCGTCGTGAGCGGGCACAAGACGGCCGCCTCCATGAGGGCCCCAAGACTCAGGGAGGCAAAATGCACACAGACACACCCACAGGTTGATTCACATGAAGACATGTGGACAAAAAGTGGGAGTGGAGGGGAAGACGACCACCTAGACAATCTGTAAACATGGTGGGGGCCTTGGGATTTGTGTCGATCTATTGGGAAGGCCTTGCG